TTCTCTTTCCTCCCCAGTGAATTTGGTCCGGACCCTTCAGATTTATCGTATGACCCCTTGGGGAGGTCCGAATCCCCCACTGACACCGAAGTAAATCATGTGAGAAAGATACTGTAATCGTTGCACTTTTGTCTGCATGCCTGTGCACATCTTGCCCTCTTGGCTTCCTCAGAGGGTAAAGGCCACTGATAATGACTTCCAGGAGTTGGCGGCGGGGAAGGCCAGGGTCAAGTTCACATCTGGGATTACCAGGGTAACTGGGGTGAGCGGTTTTTACTGGAGGTCATCTGGATGATAAAAGTGGAGAATGCCACTGAAGTGTGACTTTACTATGGGCTGATCACATATACTTTCACATGCACGAGTTCCAACTTGTGAAGACGAGTTGCACCGTTTCAAACATTTCGATTGCAACATGAATGTGATGAGGGCCGCAACTGCAAGAGGACACCACTGTACTAAACACACAGCAAATGTTGCATGAAGTGTCATGAGGTGCAGTGCATGTAGCTTCCCATCCGCACTCAGATAAGCTCTCTCCCGGACAATAAATAATCTGTAGACAGGCTGGAGGTTCCACAGATATGGTTCAAATCTGTGTCATTTGAATGAGGAGAGGAAATAGGAAACAATAAGCAGCACAAGAGGAAGTGAGCGTAGAGATATTGCACAGTTCACCCCGGGGAGAGTGCTGATGCAAAGTTCAGCCTGATTTGAATGAGACAGAGGCCCTGCAAAACCAAAGAGACACATAGAGAGAAACAGAGTTAACTTTGGTCTCTCTATGGCTGCCACTGGATCTCAACGTCAGATTTCATGTTTTTTTTTAAACTATTAATTTGTTGTTGTCTGTTTAAATTATCAGTTAATTAATCAGTAATTTCACTGATCGTCAGTGAGTCAATATATATCAAAAAGGATTGCCAAATTTTGTAAAATGCCCGAAGGGATCTCCTCAGAGAGAATCTGATCCTCTCAAGCCGAATGCACCAATATCAACATTTCTAAAGTGACATAATTTTCAGTACAAGCCAACTTTGTCATCGTGGGGTGAAGAGGACGGTGGAAGGTGTGTCACCTAGGTGAGATGCCTGCTGCTGCAGACTGTAGAAACAAAATTAACTAATACCATATATAGACATGTACTATTCTGCTTCCTCCTGTGTATAAGGCTTCATTGTACTTGAAGTGAACTGTGTCCTTGGAGAGTTTTCATTTGTGTATGAGAGGCTTGCTTTATAGCTGATCGCATGACAGTTTTCAGTTAACTTTTGCTCTGCACGTCCAAGTTTAAATCATATTACGTGACTGAATCTGTGATTCTTTGTCAGACCTACGGAGGACAATCCAGGTGTCAGAACTCTGACCTGTCAGCTGTAACAGATTAACTCTGTTATGACTCTTATTAATCTGTCCACTTTATCAAATAACACAAAAGACAACTTGAACATTTCACTCTTCATGTGTTCTCATCTGCCACCACACATACCACTGCTGACCACTGTCTGACATCATCAAACAATAAAACTGGTTGCTTTTTCACGAGTTACTGCTGTGTTTCCGACAACCTTTCAGCCCCCAAGCGTGAGTGTTTTTTTAGTGACCTGTCGCTGTTTTTCCAGCTGGCATAGTGCCACGAGACACAGTTATTTTTTACAGAGAGATTGCTGTGTCTCCAGTGGGGGACAGTGCCCTGAAAACTGGGCATTTTAAGCCAAAACATGATCCCTTTCAACTGTAACCAAGTGGTTTTTATGCAAACCTAACCACGCGTTAACCACGGCATCGTTGAAATGTTAAGTTTTAACATATCTGCTACATAATAATGTGCACATGTAAACATAAATTGTCTTCTCCAAGCAGGGATGAAACAGTGCATGCTGCAAGCAAACCCAGTGATGCTGCTGGTCCCTTGTCCTCATCCAGAGTGACACAGAGTCTTAAGCAAGCACTTTGAAGATGGGCTGCTTTTGCACCACAATAAAGTAGAACTTGGTGAAATGATTTTAGGGTGTGCATCAGAACATTTTCAGCACAATTAAACAATACTGATAGCCATGATAACTTTGGTCACTGTAACCGTGATAGTAATTTTCATATTGTTTCACCTCTATCTCCAACAGTTTAAAACCCAGGGAAAATCTAAAATAATACTGAGAAAAGCAGCAAATCCTTGCAGTGGAGAAGCTGGAGCACTATTACATGTAATTTGAAGTATCAGAATTTCAAAATGAAAAACAGAACATCCTGTGTTTATTTCTCTCGTTGAGTGTGATTTTGCTGTGAACTCTGGCTGCTAAGAGTCAAACATTACTGTAAACATGTCACAATACTCTTTGTTTTGCCTGCACGTGGTACAGCCTGTGAACCTCTGCGTTGGCAGTTGGAGCTATCAGTTACCAACCAGGTTGTTGGTATGAGAGAGAACAGAGAGACAGATGAAGATGACAGAACAAAAGGAGTGAACAGTATAAGGGCGTATAACAGTGTGAAGGGAACATAAGGAAATGAAGATGAGTGAAATAAAGTTGGCAGCGGAGGAGCAAACTAATACCTCTCACGCCTCCAAAGACAGAGGAGTCTCTTTACATTTCTGTTGCCTTCATTCCTTTGCTGTTTCTCAGCCTCTCCATCTCTGTCACTATCTGTTTGCCTTTGATGTGCCAGCTCTCGGTCTCCGTCTCTCTCTGCTGACTCACTCTCCCTATCCTTCTCTCCACAACAATGAGATAAAAAATGACCTGCACTCTAGTCTCTAACTTCTCTTTCTTCTCCCCTCCATCCTCTTCCCTTCTGTTTTCCCCTTCTTCTCCCTCTCTTCAGCGTGTTTGAGGAATGTGTCAGAGCAGCACAAAAGAACAAAAGCTTGACAGGAGGAGGAGGAGGAAGAAAAGGAGGAGGCTGAGGGGGGAGAAAGTTGTGTGAGGTAAAGGAGAGGCAGAAAGTAAAAGGGGGAATGGAGGGAAGGAATGAGCGGAGAGAGAAAGGTTGAGAGGAGCAGAGCACGGTTGAGTGGATGTGAATGCTGAGCGGTGCTTTGTCATCACGTGCTGACATGCAGCATCACACACATTTCAGAGCTCTTTATCAAGCCCCCTCTGGACAGCACGCACACAAGATGGGTGAGGCCGTCGCTGTGCTATATTGCACGGCTGCCTGTTTGATTCAGCGGCCTTTGATGCATTTCTTGTTGTGTCATGGTAATATGCTAATGGCCTGCAGTGAGGCTGAAGATGAATATCCCCAACGTTAGACAGCTCTCTATTGTAACCTTTGTGTTGGCATCAGTCACTTTCAAACTGGGGGCATGATCAATTCCCTCTTTCTGAACAGACCATGCTGGACAGACCACCATAGCAGCAGCAGTGAGGCAGTCTGATGCTCTGCTTTACATTCTGGTATTTGATGTGGAGCCATCTTGCCTTTAAACTGTATTACTGTAAGAACAAACCATGTAAGGGTTAACAGCTGCAGGTCAGCAAGTCAGAGAAAGAGGGGATGGGAGACTGCAGAGGAAATTACAGTTGATAGGGCTGTCTGATGGCTCTCCTCTGTTGTTTGGACCAGGGGGAACTTGTGAGGGCATGCTGTGATTGTGGCATGGTGTGTGGCCAATGCGGAGTGTGTGTGTGTGTGTGTGCGCGCGCGCGCGCTAATAAAGGAAACAATGTGAGCGAGCTTTGTTCACATCAAATAGAGCCGCCGGGCCCGGTGCAAGGCGCTGGATTGGACGCAGGTCTGTGCGTAAAAGCGCATATCGCGTTACCAAATATCAATCTGAGACTGGTATTCACCTTTGTTAGTCAGTGTGTCTTTGTTATAGAAGTCTGGCACTGATCCGGTGTATTAGCGGGGTGTGTTCGTGTAGCCTGTTGGGGAGGCTTCTCCTAATGCCCCCCTCCCTTTCTCCTTTAAGTCGCCCGGTTTACCTCGCGCTAATTCGCCGTGCAGTGTAGCGGATGGGATCATCCATCAAGAGTCAATAGTTAACGTCGGCTTTGTCCCGTTGCCATCCATCATCAGCGCGTGCGTGCGTGCATGTGCGCAATTATATAATGTGTGTGTGAGTGTGCGTGCTCTTTATAGGGCTACCTCCGACCCCGCAGGGCCCCTGACCCTGCCCCACTGGCCCGTCTGACGCGTTGTTCCAAATGTCCCGGCGCCTCCTCCTCCTCTTTTCCCCTTTCTTCCGTCCGAGCAGCGGGGGGCGAAAAGCTCCGAAGAGACACCGCCGACCTGCGCCAGTCCCACCTCTTATTTTAATCTCTGCCTCTCTCTCTTTACCTCCCTCCTGGGTTCGGGGTGTTTTTTCCTCTGACGCAGGCCCCCGTTAAATGGATAGCCCACCGGTCGAGGCCAGAAGCTGTATCCCATTACCACCGCTTTTATTTTTATGACACACCGCCGTGGCGCACAGGAGGCTGGGGGTGAACTTGGCCTCTCTGCCTCTTTCTCACAAACACCCTCTCTTTCTCTCTCACTCACACACACACACACACACACACACAAGCGCACGCACACACTCACACAAGCACTGCCATCCATTCAGTCTGCCAGTCTAGCAGTTGACTGGTTCTTCCTTCGCACCGCCCTGCCAAGACATGTTCTGTCAACAGACTGGCCTGGCTGACATCCTCTCTGTTTTGCATTAATAATATTCACCGAGTTGAAGTCATACACTCAAACGTGATACGACTGGCTGCATCGCAAGTGGCAAAGCACATCACACACCTCAACATTTTATATGATATTATAGAAAGTCTGCAGAGGTTTCTCCAGAGCGCACAGCACCTTCAGGGCACGGTCTGATTCAAGGTAGCGCGTGGATGAGAGGCGTCTCCAACTGCTGGCTGTATGGGCAGTTCTGAAGTGCAAATGTTGCCTTCAGGGGCGTGGTCAGGTCGAGGCACTGAGGACCTTTGCCTGTAATCTGGTGGCCTGCGGGGCGTGTCCATATAGAACGGGGCGTGTGCATCCCTACACAAGTATCTCTGCTTTCCGTGCCATTCATTTGTAGCGCAGCCGCTTATACAGTGCACCGGTGCATAGGTGTGGTAACAGCCCCGACAGTCGGTCACTCATCCCGGGAAGAGGGCAGAAATAACTGGAAGTGTGGAGTCAAACCATCCGGCGCGCCCACACACCCAGACGGGATTCATAAGGAAGACGTAGACGCGCAGGGACTGCAGCACACCCTCAACACTTGGACCTGACAGTTCATCTATATTAATCCGCAAACTACACCTGCAGCCTGACATGGAGCGCAAAATCCCCAACTTTGCCGGCACCTGGGAGATGAGGAGTTCTGAGAACTTCGAGGAACTCTTGAAAAAGTTGGGTAAGTGATAGAAATTATGATAAAAAAAATAATCACAGCAGCCTACCGTGGAAGCTTGACTCATTTTTTGCGCAAGAGTGGTTTCTTATGAAGCTTTTATTTCTGTGCGTAATGACACAGATCAGATGTGTCAGCTCAAACTGTAGCTCTCTCAGCACATTTATAGGTCAAATCTTCCTCTGTGTCCGTGCGCCAGCGAGGATCACCCTCTGTGCCACGCATGGGTGGGGGGTCTTTGTCATTCTGCAGAACCCAAAATTCAGCGCTTGGCCCCCAGCCAGCCCTCACCCCTTTTTCTCTCCTACCCCCCTTTGGCCTACCCTGCAAACACAATAGAGACAAACGGCGGCACATCTGTCTGTGTCGCAGCCTCAGATTGTGTGTGTGTGTGTGTGTGTGTGTGTGTGTGTGTGTGTGTTGAAGAGGACCGTTATGGCACGATACAGTGCAGGACAGTCACATCATTATCTGAAGTGACAGTCGGGGAAAAAAAGGACAAACACCTGCTGCTGAGATTCACAATGTTTTCTCACATCACTGCTGCATATGGAGTCTGGCGTCAGGGTGTGTGCGTGAATGTGTGTGTGTGTGTGTGTGTGTGTGTGTGTGTGTGTGTGTGCATGTGCGCGCGCGTAGTCAGAGCCGTCTGTCGTTAGTAGCCAATTCCTATTAGATGACTTGCCAGTGCACACCTGGAATCCATATCATCACGTAAGCGCACAGGGAAGATGAATATGATGAATGTGTGAGATGACTGCATCAAACAACGCCGCCTTTTACTCCCCTCTCTAACTCCCACACACACACACACACACACACACACACACACACACACACACACACACACACACACACACACAGTCTACTGCACATTGAGGTTATTGAAATAGCTGTCAAGTGGCACTATTGTTCTGAATGTAGACACATCACCACTGGGCGGGAGCGCGAATTCCGACTTCCCTGTTAGACTGACGCACCAATTAGCGTTTAATGTATCCATAACCATGTTTATTTCCATCTGTGTGTGTGTGTGTGTGAGAGAGAGAGAGAGAGAGAGAGGCGGAACGTGGGGGGCTATTACAAAAGGAAAGATGGCAATGTGATGACATGGCACTGTGCCTAATAACGCGAGGGCAGGGTCGTCTGTGCGCATTTGTGAGGTTAAAGCTTGTATGCGCTTTTGTAATGTGCTTGTGTGTGAGTAGAAAGACAGAGGTGTAAGACAAGTACTCGTGAGGGAGGAACTTAGGGTTGAACTCCACTAAGTGATACAGTTGTAGTCTTTTCTCCCTCATACACACACATCGACAGACGTACCACAGCATGTGTTCCTATAATTTCCCTCTGCATTGGCATGACTGACAGAGAGGAATGGCCCATGGCTTTATTGGAGGGCAAAGCGCAGCTGGACGCAGCCTGTCAGCACCCAGTACCCTCCTCCTTCCCTCCATCCTCTCTTCCTTTCCTCACTCCTGCTCTCCTCCCCTCTTTGCTCATCTCCGTGTCCCAAATGCTTCCTCTGCCCTCTGCTCTTTGACCCCTGACCCAGACCGTCTGTCTATCTGTGTCCTCGTGTGGCCAGGTCTGTGAGAATTCAAGCATTTTAGTCACAGGTCTGCAGAAGTCTGTTCAGGTAATTTTCTAACTTCTAGCAACTGGCAGTTACTTGAGAAGCGTTGGCCCCCTCTGTGGCTCCCAAATGGTCCACAGGCCGGCACTTGACTCCTCTCTTCAGTCTGAGCCAACAGACTGAAGATACGTTAGTGTCTGCAGGCTGGTTTGTCGCCTGAAAGAATCTAAACTTTTGTTTCTCAGAGATAAATTTTCAACCAAGGTTCCTGGAGCTAACAGGCATGTTTGAACCCCACTATCAGTTTCCTCACCTTTTAAGGTTGACATTAATCTTTAGGATGTAGAGTCATTATATAAATATATAATGGGAAGTGGTGCCAAGTTTCTATTTTTATTTGTCTATTTTAGTTTGTCTTTCAAGGCTAAATCCATGCATGAACTAATTTTGGATATTTTTTGTTGTTGGAAGTCGTACACCTTTAAGGTTACAACTAAAGATAATTTACATATCAACTAATCAATTAAAAAGTCAGTTATTTTAAACTGCTAAATCACTTTGTCCAAAATGTCACAAAATGGTTAAAATGGTAACAATACTAGGAATATAAGACAGAGAAAAGCCACAAATGCCCACTTCTTTAGAGTCTGGAGGGAGCAAAAATTGGTGGAAATACATCTCTGTTGAGCAACTAATTGATCGATCCACCAATCCTTTCTGCACTACCTGCTTTTGCCACCACATTATCGTATGTGGAAGAAATATTTATGTACTTAAATTAAAGTTCCTATGCCCCAGTGTAAAAATACTCCATTGCAACTAAAGGTCAGGCTTTAAAACTTCTCTAAAATAAAAGTACACAAGTACTGTCAGCAAAATGTACTCACATACTAACAAATATTTGCACACTGAGTCCCATTCAGTGACCAGGTTTTCTAATTATGATGCATTAGCATGTAAGCAGCATTTTAATGTTGCAGCTGGCAGAGGTGGAGCTAATTTCAATCTATTTACATACTGTACTGTTGGATAGTTTAATCTATAACAATGCTGTAAGGTATGTTTTGGATGTAAATTTCTATCTCAGGTGTCACTGGTGACAGTAACTGCTACATAATGTAAATTTCGTGCAGTAAAGAGTACATTACTTTTCCTTTAAATTAAGTAGATTATTCCTATAATGTAGCATAGAATCAAAATACTTAAAGAAAGTATGAAAACCACAAAAAGTGCCCCTAAGTACAGTACTTGAGTACATGTACTACTTTCCACCCCTGATTGCATGTCTGTTAAAGTGGTACTAAATATAGCCTATTAAAATAAAAAAAGACATTAATAGGACACTGAATTAGGTATAATGAATGCACAGGCCGATGCAAGAGGTAATCATCAGTCTTACATGATGTTTTACATGATGCAAAATTAATCTGCACATGATGACAATGCACCAAAATAGTGTGTTGTGTGTGCTGCACATACAGTTCGTACAGTGTGCAGCTTGCACATCCTGATGCATGGTGAATGACTGTGCATTTCAGAGTGTGTATATATTTACCCTTGGTGACAGGTGGGAATGTGTGAGAGGTGAGAAGTGCGAAACCCAACTCGCCGACAGATACCCACTGGACGACATACACACACTTCCCCTCACACTTGGCCAGAGATCTTCACACACCACACACAGACCACTGCCCCTCGTCTGTCTGATTCCCCCCACCTCCTCCCCTCTCTCCCCCTCCTTTCCTCCCTCTGCACCGGTCTGCTCCTGGTTCCCTCTCTTTTCCCACGCTGTATCATCAGTTTCACGGCAGCACGCTATGGGAATACTGATTGTGCTATCTCTGTGGTTTAATAAAGGAGAACAGTGCAGATGACAGTGCAGACAATACAAATCAACATATTAGTCTGTCTGTTAGAGTGTCTGTGTGTGCAAAGATGATTAAGTCTGAGGAGAATGCAGATGTGCTGGCCATGACCTCATTGTTTCCTCTGTCATCATTATTGGACAGAGCTCTGCAATGCTAGGCTGCTCCTTTTACCCTGAGTGTGCAGGAGAAGACGGTGAACAAGCAGCAACACCACACCATTCAAACATGCACACACGCACAGGGCCTAAGGCCTATGGTTGTACAGTAAAAAAAAAAAAAAAAAAAACAGGTTTAGTTGGCCTTGCCCCTTAGGGCTGAATTCTATAAACCAGTGCTGTGTGACACAAAAAAGATCTGCCCTCCTTGTAGGCATGTACTGCTCACATGGGAATATTCATTCAAAGTGGCCACAACAGCTTGTGCAAGAGCAAATGTTTACCTTGTTGTTGTGCCTTTGTGTGTAGTTCTTTGTTTGAACCCCAAATCTCTCCTTAAATGTACTCTTTCAAGTCATTTTCTCCTTGTCTTACGCGCGCGTGTGTGTGTGTGTGTGTGTGTAGGTGTGAACATGATGCTGCGTATGATTGCGGTAAAGGCAGCCTCCAAGCCTCTGGTGGAAATCACGCAGGACGGAGAGACGCTGTCCATTAAAACCTCAACCACAGTCCGCACCACCCACATCACCTTCACTGTGGGGCAGGAGTTCAACGAGACCACAGTGGATGGGCGTCCCTGCACGGTACACACTATTTTCTCTGCGCACCCCCCCCACCACACACACACACACACACACACACACACACACAGAATAAATGGGCGTTTGGGGAGGGAGCTGTCCAGATTACATCAATCTGTTTAATTTGGCTTTTCATCATATTTGGACTGATAGCATATCTTTCCTCCTCCCTTGGTCTCTGAAGGCCTATCATGCTACACTATGCTCCTTCACACTCTTTACGACCCCTTTCAACTTCCCATCTCCCCTCTGTTCCCCCTTCTTGCCCTTTCCTGCTCTCCGTCCCTCCCTAATTCTCCCCATGGCTTTCCCCATCTTCCCATACATGGCCTCTATTTGGCCGTCTCCAAAGCAAACACATGCAACCAGCCAGAGCTTCGCTCTAGTAACGATGAGTGCATCACAAGTTATCACCTTACAGTGATCGCTCAGCTCCAACTTTGTTGTTGTCTCTCAGCATTAGCCCCTCTCTCATTATCTTCTATTCCCTTTGGATGACGACGATATCTATTCATCTATACGTTCAGTGTGTCTAATGGTTTTTCTTCTTCTCTCTTTCTCTGTCCTCAGAGTTTCCCATGCTGGGAAACTGACAGTAAGATCAGATGTGAGCAGACTCTGCAGAAAGGAGAAGGGCCTAAGACGTCCTGGACCCGAGAGATAACCAACGATGGCAAACTGATCCTGGTAAGGCACAAACTATCCACTCAACCAAAGTTTAGATCTAGAACCAACAAAGGAAATTCATTACTGTAAAGAACACAGATTACAGTGTAGTTTTGTTGTAAATATGGGGTATCAATAAAATTGTTAACCACATGTACCTGAAGTGTTGTGGACATGTTTTGGGCTTGAAATCAGACTACAGTTACAAATCAGCTTGACTCTGACAGAAATTTTTGTAGATGCATTTTTTACGCCTTTTTAGGCCACCAGGGTACTTTAAATGTTTTTTGAGTATTGTGTTAAGCTTCCTAAAGCTTCGCTTATACTCTCGTGAGACACTGTGGTGCAGGCCTCCGTACATGGCCCGCGAGCGACGATCCTGTACAGAAGTGTTTAGGCTCAATGTGTTGTTCGTTGCAACTTCGGAACGCAGAAGACATACAAACAAATTATTCTGTGGATAAGCAAGAAGGCTACAAGTGTTTCTGGAAGAACATCCCTGAAAAAGTAGGCCACCTGGCAACAGTAGCAAACACTCATGTACCGCCAAACACTGCATTCTGTGTATTGTAATTACCACTGAGTCAAATTAGTTTATACCGCTTTGCTGCCCACCGGGTCGCCACTGTCCATAACTGTTTTTTTAGCTTTTACAACCATCTCTTGTGGTCTTCAACATCCTGCAGCTAAAAGCCATCTTCCCCCGTGTCACGACTATTTCATTCTAATAATTTAGAGATGTCTTTACATGCAAACCTTCTTTGCCAGTCCTCCGAGTGGAATTGAAGAGTTGCGCATGCAGTGGGCATCGACTGCCTAGCTACAAAACTTTAAAAGGTACACAACCAAGCCCTGCGACAACTTTTGGATCCCTAACATTCGATGCGAAGCGAGTGATTTCATAATTTTATAGAGCATGAATACTGAGCCAGGGCATAAACCATGCTCTGCACTGCATCCCTGTTTTGTAATGTCTAATGTAATATGTAGTGTTTGTTGTATGGTTTTGTTGTTTGGTTAAATGGTGTTGTGTATATGTGTATTTATGTGAAACACAGACAAAGTTCTGATTTTTTTCTGTCACTAAAGCAAAATCCAATCAAATCAAATCATGGGCCAAGTGACTTTGTCTAACAGCACATATGATTTTTGTTCAGCTGTGTCTTCCTACCCCAAAACTACATAACTATACTACAGAAATTAGCCTTATGATAATTAAATTCTTAACATTAGAAATAGAAACATTATAATGAATCATTAAATGAAAACTCCCATCTGTACCCAGCATTTCTACAGATTTTGTACTCTAAAAATTTATTATACATATACTGTAAAATCCTCAGAATATCAGTATTGTTACTCCATCTTTTAATAACTCCCTATTTTTCACTATGCCACTCTTAAATGGAACTTTTTTTTTGGTCAACATTTTTGTACTGTAGCACTGATATGTATTTTATTAGTACCCTATTTGTACAACTAAATTACACTGTTATTTGCAGGCTATGATCTGAGGCGTTGCCTTAAGATTATATAATTATATGACTGAGCTTAGAGCACCATAATGCCAATCTAATTGTTCCCCTGGCAGAAGATGAAAGAGCTTCAGTCGAGATTACAAATGCACATATCAAAACAAGGCAAATAATAGATAATTATGATGGTGATGTGTTTACTGAAGGGCTGATAAAGAAGTGCTAAACAAGTCTAAGTCAAAAATGTTTTTAAAAAATATTTCCAACTAGTTTGCAGTGTTTTGTTCTGCTACTGACAGCTACCAAAACTCTCTGTGAATACTAAAGTGCCTGTTCCACAAACAGAACTGTGTTTACTAAGAAATCCCACCCAACTGGCACTTCAGGTTAACTGAAACTAATTTTGATAACAATTTAAAATAATTATTTGACCAAAGTCTACCAGTAAACCAGTCCAACTGGAGATGACACATGCATCCTCCACAGTCCTTTCTGGAGAGAAGTGTTTTGGAATTGAACAAACTGCAAACACAGCAAGTATTTATGGGGCGATGGTTGCTTGAGGGTTGGCAGAAAGTTCAAATCTCAGACTCCTGACGTGCTCTTAAGCACCAAACCCGCAACTGCTTTTTAGAAGCCAGCAGTAATAATAACTGTGTGAGTGTTTTGCACAGAGTGGCATGTTTGCTTAAACAACTTTCCCTAAATAGTGTTTGTTCAAAACAGTTTGGCACACTGACATTATGTTGGTCTTAACTGTGGGAGACAAATAGCTCAATTTGGTTTGGAGAAAATCAGAATTAATGGCTTTTTCAGCAAAATGCTCCATTTTTAATATGAATTCACAGTGAACCGTAGATGAGCGTACCAGTATTTAAAGAGGACCTATTATGCTACTTTTCAAGTACATACTTGTATTTAAGGTTTCTAACAGAACATGTTTACATGCTTTAATAGTTGAAAACAGTATTTTCCTCATACTGTCTGTGCTGGAACGTCTGTATTCACCCTTGGTCACTTTAAGCCCCTCTCCTGAGAAAGCCCAGCCTGCTCTGATTGGTCAGCATTTCTGGGTGTTCCATATCTTGGCGTCTCAGCAGAATAACTTCACTTTTTACCGTGAAATATTCCCAGTAAAAGCTTCTAAACACAACCGGACATTTTCTAGCCAGACTCTGATTAAAAATCAAGGAGAAACTGACAACATCCATGACCAAGATTACAAGTTTCCCTGACGTTAGCATGTAGCTGCATGTACGCAAGCAGTGCACTTGCAACCGGTGAATGACTGTATCAGAGAACAGCTGCACTTTTTCTGTGAAAAATCACCAATAAAAGTTGCTAACTACAACTGAACATTTTCTAGCCAGTCTGTGATTCAAAATGAAGGAGAAATTGACAACATCTGCAACCAGGATTACGTTTCCCTGATGTTAGCATGTAGCTACATTTACATTAGCAGTGCACTTGTAGCCGGTTAATGACTGCAACTGAGAATAGCAGGATGTTTTTATCATTAAAAAATCACCAATAAAAGCTTCTAACCACAACTTAGGGCTGGGTATCAATTCAGATTTTCCAGATCGATTCGATTTTCAAGGACTCAGTTCGATCCGATTCACAATTCGATTTGATTCAATTCAGTTCAATATCGATTCAGTCAAGTATATTTCAATTATGATACAAAATTTGCTTGGATATTAAGATATTTTCTGAGAACTAACGAAGTATATTTAACAAGGAACCCTCTGACCTGGTGCATTACTATTGTTACTATTACTATACTGTTTATATTAAGAATTGACCCCAAAGCAGTACATTAGTCATCATGTACTTTTATTTAACATTACCTGACCAACACATACAAAATAAATATTTTAAATTAAATCTAATCACAAGGCAGACAATTTAAATGAAGTGGCTACAAAAAATGTAAACAAAGGACATCCACAAGTTTGCTGCCAGTAACCGTCTTTTAAAGCTTTTTCCGCAATACACTACAGTGGTTGTGATGCACACAGTGACTGTATCAGAAGAGAAACAATATACGTAGGTGAACCCTGCAGCAAAGTGAACCCTCTTCTTCAGAGAGGATCTTTGCCTCCCAGTTTGTTCCTGGCGGCAGAGCAGAGTGAACCGTCTTTCTTCTCAGAGGATCTTTGTCCCATGAGAGCAGGCACGCTGCTCTCCGTGTCCGTAGTAGTCTCGCTCACCAGACCTTTCTCAAGAAAAGAAAGGTCTGGCTGGGCCGACTCTCACTGTGAGATTAGAGAAAAAAACGTCCCGGCTGCTTGTACTTCTTTCAACCAATCACAGTCGTTCTGGGCGGTGCCACAGCAACGGTGCACTTGCAGAAATATTGCCAGGGGGAAACAGGTTTTGGTGTAACACGCCCACAAAAATATCACCTACAGGATGCAAACCATGGCAGAAAAATGGCTACATCCCCGCAAGATCAAACACCGCAAAAGTTAGTAAAGGACGTGTTGAAAACGGTTGAAAACTGCTACACAACCGGAGGTGGTAGGGCGGGACTTCAGCGGGTGGCTCGTTCAGCCCAATGAAAGGCTGATCTCTGCAGCAACTGGATATGCTCCAGCAGGAATATGATCAAAATCGGGGGACAACTGACAACATCAACAACCAAATTTACATGTTTCTCTGATGTTAGCATGTAGCTATATATGAGCGGTGTACCTGTAGCAAGGGAATGACTGTAACAGAGAATAGCACAAATTTTTATTGTAAAAACAACAACAACAACAAAAAAACAAAACAATAAAAGCTGCTAAACACAAACGGACATGTTCCAGCACGAATATGATCCGAAACTGGGGGGAAATTTACAACATTATCAACCAAGATGACATGTTTCCCTGACGTTAGCATGTAGCTTCATTTAGCAGCATAGATAGAAATAGAAAACAACGTTAAGGAAGTTAAGGAAACATGAGTTTTTTTTACTGACAGAGATTACTTCTAATTACGTTTCACACATTATTTGAAACTTTGGTCACATTTAATATGAACATCCTTCACTGTTACACTATATAAGACACAAAATATGGAAATGCATAATAGTCCCCCTTTAATATTCACATTGTCCTCTCTTTTCAGACCATGAAAGCAGATGATGTGGTATGCACCAGAGTCTACGAGCGACAATGAACAAGAGCACTTCTCACTTTTCGTCCTTCCAGTCTCCCCCCTCCTCTCCTGCATCACCACGTGCATCACTAATCCTCCTTTGATAAGGCAGCGCTGGGAGATAGCAGTTTATAGTTTTATTCCAGTATCTCCGTTAGCTTCACTATGTAATAAGTGTGGTAACTGTATCTAGTATGTCACATATCTACATGATGGTCTTAGCTCCTGAGTTATCTGCCTGTCTCTCCAGCTCCATCAAACGTGACCAGCTGGGCTTTAAACATGAAAGTGTGTGTTGGATTTGTTGAGTGACAGCTCATTTATTTGGCATTGTATGTAAGTGTGTGTGTGTGTGTGGCAGCAGAAGTGGTGTGAGACTATATTTGTGAATGTGTAAATCAATCTTTGAGCTCTTCCAGTTTCAGGTCAGTTATGATGTGTTTCTTTAGCCCTGCCCCACAACTTTAATCTTTTCTATCTCATGACGACATTTTATATTTATTACTACACTAGGAGTCTGATACAGTACTGCTTAAGTTTTTACTTTGTGTCTCTTTTATATGAAATTTGATCATAGGAAACAACACTTTCTATTGGAAAACAATAAAGCACGATGTTAACTCAGCCTGACTCTTCGACTCTTGGCCCTCCTGCACTGAAAACAATTAGGGGCATGAAATCCTTTGACCGTGCACACGTTTTATGGTTTGTGAGTGTAGCTGCAGAATATATATGCACATTCGATGTCTCCATCTTATTTTAAGCTCTCTGTCAGCTGTCTGCAACTAGAATAACTTGTCTGTCCCCTCCCTCTCAGTCTCTCCTGCTCCCTCTTGGTTTTTTTGTCTCCCCATCCCTCCGTCAATCATCTCTCTGCCACATGCCCTCGTTATTCCTCCCTCGTAAGGCTTCAAGGCTCAAAATGTTTCCATGTGACTTTTTTTCTCCCCCTTGCTCACTTTTATCACACATTTCATGTGGATCTGCTCATCCTGCAATTTTTCCCTGGCATGTGAAGCAACACGCAGAGAGCCAGCTGCAGGAATGCCACTGTTGGGCTCTGCAGTTTTATTATTTCCATTTCAAATGCCAATTGGCTAAATTAGGTTCATATTTCTCTGGAAAGTCTTTAAAGGCTGCCTGACTTCAAGGAATAGTTGATTATTTTGGGAAATATGCTCCTCACTTTCGTGAGAGAGTCAGATGAGAACATTGATACCACCCTCGTGTGTACAGAAAATTTGACACTAGTGTAAAGTGACAGTTCATTGTTTAATATAGGGGGATTTCTTGGCTGGGACAAGACCCCAGGAACAGCACCAGCCTTTGCAGTCGATTTGGCATAGTGGCCAAACCATGGAAATACAACTTGCAGGTCCGTCACATGATGCCATTGGACCCAAAAAGAATTTTCCCCATGGACTTACATTGTGAGGGACTCAAAAAATGTATTCCCTTTCAAGTTAGCAGAGGGTTAAACCTGACGTTAGGTGCTCCATTGGCGAAAGTTAGTCAGTTGGCTGATGAAAGTCTCTAGTGCGCTTGCTCTATGAGCCCAATGATTCGGAAGATCTGGTTAATTTTCAACCTGAGAACTCTCACCATGCCCCACTGAACGACTTTCATAGGAACGAACGAGCCCCCACCTTCAACGCTGTATTTTTTTTTTTAAACTTTTTTTAAGTCATACCAGTGTTTTCTATTTTATTTTATTGTAAGTTACACAAATTATGCGTCTACTCATGAGCCAAAGTAACGAAATCTCGTTTAATATGTGCACCAATGGTGTATTTGTTGAATGACAATAAAGTAAGTCTAAGTCTAAGTATCCAGTTCTTTTCATACATCCATGGGCTGGGACCAATACCTTCCCAGGTCTTTCCTGGTTGTTTTGCATCTGTACCTTGCCAAAAAACAATCCAGTGCATAACCCCCCAAAACGGCAAACTGTCATCATTACACTTGTTTTTTGTGTGGATTAAACAAAGGACATATAACATGTGAAATTAGTTAGCTTCAGATGTGCTGGTAGGTGGATTTTGTACATTAATACAGAGCCAGGCCGCTTTCCAGTCTTCAAACTAAGCTAAGCTAACTGGCTTCTTGCTCTATTCACCGTTGTGACCATATAGACATGAGAGTGGCATCAATTGTCTCACCAAACTCTCAAGCAATTGAAAAAGCATTTCCCAAATGTTGACCTATTCCTTAAAGGTTTAATTTGTTAGATTTAGGGAGATTTAGTGGCATAAAGCGGTAAGGAGTGCAACCAGCTGAAACTTCCCCTGAATAAAATTCCATCAGTGTTCACTGATCAGGAGGATTTCACTGGGAGACGAATTATCTGCAGAAGACTCTAACTTTCCAAAACAAATGGACCAGGTGATTTAAACTGGTAAAATCAATGAATAACACAGTTTCACATTACAAGTCAATGTTTCTCTGATGCTGTTGGCATGTCAGAGACTAGCTACTGAAGCTATTTTGTGCCCACCTACTTTCTGAACCAGATGTTTAGGTTGTTTTTTTTTACCGTGAGCAGAATTATCCACGGAGGTCTCTCCAAAACAAATGAGCTGGTGATTTAAACCAGTAAAAACACTGGATAAAACATTTTCACATTACAAATCAGTGTTTCTCTAACTTGAATTGTCACATTGGAGACGGGCAGCCCACCCACTACATGCAAATGCGTGCTCACCCTTTTTCCTCATAACTTACGATCCAGACGCTCAGGAGGATTCCACCAGGAGCTGAATTATCCACAGAGGTCTCTTCCTCACCAGAACAAATGGAGCCGGTGATTTAAACCAGTAAAAACACGGACTAAAGCAGTTTCACATTACAAATCAGTATTTTTCCAACACTGCTCATCACAGATGGGCTTCTATAATGGTGGCTGACACGAAAATGCGAATGGCCCTGTTTGGGCTACTGTAGAAACATGGCAATCTCCATCCCGCTTCCTGTGTAGTCATATAAGGCTCATTCCAAGATACCAAAAACACAGTTCTTATTTTCAGGTGATTATACACTAAAGAAACAATACATATAATCTTTTATTCCATTTCTGCTACATGATCCTACAAACTGAAGCTTTACAACATCAGTGTAGAATATCTGTTGTTATGGTAACTAAGGAGAGTGATAAGGCAAACGGAGGTCAACTTGGGACCATTTTGAGTCGGACAGTGAACTACCTGACCAGTCATTAAATGGGCGAAGGTCAGTGGGCGTGTCTTTAACAGCAGGAAATGCCAATTGGATTACAGGGTACAGTTGATTGACAGCAGATGTGCTTAACAAGGAGTGGGCTGTTAAGGGACCTGGAAATGAAAAAGGCGGCTGGGGAAAACGATGGATGACCCCGGGTTCACACACATATACACTTATACAACAAGTAAAAACTAGATTCCTGGGAGCGGAATTTAGTGATGCTAAAACTGCTCTTTAAATTTTTTTGTAACAAACTATCTCTTCTTTATTTTTCTTCTTGCCCTGCAGCTGTGTGTAGTTACAGTGTGACCCCAATAAAGTCTCCTCCTCTACCTCCTGCCCTAATAAAAGGGGTAAATAACCACCCCTCCCTCACTGTTTATTACCCCCTGGGGCAGTAAAAGGCAGCTGTCTGGCCCCCTTCAAAACGCCCGACCCACACCGGACCCCTGTAAAAAACACACATGTACACACTCCCATTCACATACCAAACTAAAAACACACATTCTGGGAACTCTTCACACATACCATCAAAGTCTCACACTGTACACGCAGATCATAAAACACGGATGAGTGTTGAATGAGTGTGGAAAGGTGGACAGACAAACTGCCTGGCGCACAAAAAACTGTGAAAACTCCTCAAAAACGTAGCACATCAAGAGGGTCTGAAGAAAGAAAGTGAACACATCATATCTGCTGCTGACATCCTGACTACATCGTTATCGCTGCAGGTTGTTGGCCTTGCAGAAAACGTAACAAGGAACAGAAGATAGCTTGGCAACAGCGGGTCAAACATACCTCACTCCTACACTCCCTGTAAGTCAAGAAATAAACAGGGGCACGCTGTAGAAAGATTAAAATAATAAGCATGCATACCAACAAAATAAAAAACACCTGTATAGAATGCACACGCCTACACAGAGCTAATGCACTTCATCCATCAGAGTTAAATGGGAATCTGATGCCCTTTTAAGATGTCTAACAAAGTAACCATAGTAGCTATCTGAATAGAAACCAAACGTTGGTGCTATTGTGTGTTAGTTTAGGTGCCCCGGGGCCACAGCTGAGTCAGGTTGCAGTTTGATAGATGACTTATGTGCAGGGAGGAGTGGAGTGTGTGTACTTGTCTGCATACTTGGGTGTATGTCACAAAAGCCAAGATGGGTGATTTGTGCTCTGGCTGAGGCAATTATTGCCACGCGGGTCAAGTGCATTGTGGGTTAGATTGTAAAGTAGACGGGGGAAAAAATGCCCGCGGGAGAGCACGATAGGGAAAAAAAGAGGCACATATCTTTGTGATAGTCTGCACACATGCACACAAATTCATAGAAAGAGCATGCGTGTGACAGTGTGATGACAGGGGAGTGTCATTAAACACCCTCGCATACTGTACTGTCTCTGTCAAAGATATTGATTTACACCCACACACACCTGCAAGCCTGCACAAAGTGATACACACGTCTAACAGTCACACGCACCGTGGCAAAGTGCACCAATCTCCTGTGGCAAATGCAATTAGACCACCCAGGAACCTTTGAGGCCTCTTGTAAAACATTGGTCAAGAATAGTACACATGAGGGCATACCACACACACGCAGACACACACACACATGAACACTTTGAATGTTTACTGGACAGAAAAGCAGAAAGAAGGCGTCATCAAAACCACACTGGCCAGCTTGAAATTCAATCTGACACACACCCACATGTTCACATACAGAAATTAGGTTTTTAAATATGACTTTAAATTATCTGAAAATTCCCATCTTTCTCTGTCAAGATTCCAAGTTAATAAGCCACAGCAGAGGCATGAGAGGGAGGGGAAGGTATTCAGTAAAGGTCATGGGAAGACGTCTGGAAATCAACAGTATATGGTTGGCACCTTGGCCCACTGAGCCGCGCAGGACACTCAAACTAACGACCTTCAAAAACTCTTCCCTTTAATGTCTGGGCATGAGAATCCTTCCATTAAGGAAAATAAAATCAAAGAGAAGTGGAGCGGAGAGACGTGGAGACACTGAGTCAGACACTAAAGGAGGGGGTGAGGTGGATGAAAGCTTCCTTCGAGCTTCCTTGTCTAATTTTATAAAATATGATTCATTCCCTTGCACACAACGGGGTCAAAGATTTATCTACGTTCTCTGCTCAGACATCTGCAGATCTACTGTCAGCTCTGTGGGGAGCATCCCAATGAGCATCATGACCCTGCTCCTCCACTAAGTGCAGGACAATGGTCCCACAGTAAACCAGAGGTAGGCTGAATGAAGTCTTTGTGGAGACGAAGAATGTAATATTAAATCTGATTACAGACTCTGACGCTGACCTCTGGATGGACTGAGGGAGATGACAGAAAGATGGAAGATATGGTTTATAGATGATAAGAGAAAGACTGTGGGAGTGTGGGAGAAGTTCAAGCAGAGAGAAGAGTTCTCTTATAAGATGAATAAGACTTTGCATTGTTATCTTCAATTACAAATACTCAACTTGGCTAAAAGACACGGGACACCCAAACACTGAAAAGAATAGAAAAGCATGGACAGAGTGCACTTTTAAAACCAGTTGGGTACAGGTGCAGACCAAAATCAGCATAAAGGAACATAATATTGGGATCTAATATAGCTGCTGTAACATAATTCAGAATAGGCTTTAAAGCTGGGGTAAGCAGTTTTATTTTAGTGTCATTGAGGAAAAACTCATATAAACTTTAAGCATATTGGAATTTTAAGTGGTCTGAGAAAAAAACAGACTTCTGCACCTCCTCTTGGCTCTGTTTTCGGGCTGTAGAAAATCTTGACTGTGATGGGAGACACAGGTCATTTCAGAGAGGGGGCATTCCTATTAGCTGTTCTAGAATTTCAGGTGCACGTCCCTTTGGTGATAGCCTGCTTTAATGGTGGAGAATCGTGCAGACAAAGTTGCTATTCCAGTATCCGCAACGATTGCCTGTGCTGCAAAACAACCCAAAGAGGAAGAGTGGACGTAAGGAGAGTCTAAAAGAGTCTGACCCAAACAAAAAAAAAAAAAAAACACTAGTCAATATCTGCAAAGCATTTCAGAGATGGAGAGAAAGGCATATAAAGTTTAGGAGTTTTAACAGTGTGACGGCAGCATTTGTGTAATATAGTAAACAAGCTAGCAGTGCTAAGAACGGATCAGAAACACTTTTTGAAAACACAAGATATCAAACAAAGGCCAGAGACTGTATCTTATTAAGTATGTGTCAGCTATAAATTCACCACTTCCAAGCAGAAGAGAGGAAAAAATATTATCTCGGAGCCTTGAGCCCAGTTCAGACCAAAGATTCGCAACGAGATGAGCTGAAACAGGAAACTATGTCCAATGCGCTAACCTGCAACGTTCTAAAATCCTGCTGGTTCAGACCAATGACAGTGTATCATCTCTATGCAACAACTCTCTGTACTTCCGTTCTGATTTCCAGCTTTTCAGGCTTGTTTTGTGGCTGAATATTATTTGTAGCTTCTTAAACATGAATGAGGGTAGTGATAGTGAGATACTGGCTACAGGTGCATTTGTAGTAGTGATGAAACGGCAAAAACTGAAACAAAATGAGCATCAGATGGACTGTATTCATAATAAATACGCAGCAATCATATAAATAACCAGCAGCAGCTAATCAGTCGATTAGAATGTGTGTGGGGGCATAAGCCCATACAACAAGCAGCAGCAGTGACCCACCGTCTGACACTGCCATTCTGTGAGACGGAAACAGAGAGCTCAGCTGGGATGAAGCACCTGCCGTCTGCAACTTGTTATCTGCGGTCATTTTGACTAAACCAGCTGACTTCACTACAAGCTGACTGGCTGTAAAAAACAGGTGACGAGCTTTATATTCTAAAACCAGTCACTGGTGATTTAACCAGCTGAGTTGCAGGTGACACCATCAGCAGACTTGAGTCAAGCACAGCCCGGCCAGTTCACTCGCTGCAACTTTTCTCTGCAACGTTCTAAAACGGTTTTGTCGCATCGCTAATCATTGGTCTGAACTGGGCTTTATGGTGGAAAGTTTCTCCTCCTCTGTTCCACTGCATCACATCTGCAGCTGTCTGTACCGAAGAGTAGCATGAAAGTCAAGGGTGCTCGCTCTGCAGCAAAATCTGGGGACCAAAACGTCCCTAGAAGTACACTGTACAGCAAACTGACTACCAAAGAAGGGGGTCTCCGACTTTCAAGGGGTAGCCCTAGAAATAGACATACAGCTAAAACAAGGATTACAATGCTGAACACAAGTAAACATAAACGCTTGACTACTATGTACAGATATTAATATATGATTTCTATCTTTATCACTTTTATAATGTTCTGTTTTTGTTGACATGTCAGAAATGTGTAAATTCAACTATATGTGTATTACCGAGGTCACAGTTATAGATGGTTTTGTGCTGGACTACATACAGTAACATTGAGGTGTTTTCTCATTATTGGTCCTTCCTATTTACATACATATACATATATGATGTTGTCATATACAACACCACCACTAACTATGACCTCAATGCGGAAACATATAATCTATGTCGGTGAAGATTCTCAGTCATGGTAATCATATGTGCTATGTCGTAGGCAGCCAGACTTGCTTGACGGATAATTTGCTTGACATATAATTTAATTGACATATAATTTAATTAATACCTCTATGATACTGGCAAAAATATTGTCATCTTTGTCTGATGTTTGCTTGATGAGGCCCTTGAAGGTCTAAACATTGCATCATTGCATTTTGAGGGCCATGCAGTATTCACCAGCAGAGTACTTCTCCTTTATCAACGCAACATTACACCCACATGTGATTATTGAGCATCTCATTCCAAAAACATGGTCGTTAGTATGCTGCTGTCACAGACTCCACTCTTCTGATTTCAGACTTCCCACAACATGTTGGGACAACAAGTTCTTCCACACAAACACTCAGAAAACCACGTCTGGGTGGACCTCGCTTGGTTGACGGGGACACTGTCATGCTGAGACATGCCCTCCCCAAACTTTTGCCAAAAATCTGGATGTACACTGTTGTCAAAAACATGATTGAAATCTTTACACAAATGCCAAATTTAGGCAGGGTGTGTTCACATATGTCGGTCATATAGTGCAGAATGTACACATGTAGCCTACGACATAGGAATTATATGCAGAGGAGAGAGTGTAGAGAGGCGCCCAGGAGGATCATCAGGCATTACAGGATGATCAACTGTCAGAGCTCCATGACTCATTCCTTTTTTTATAGGATCAGCTCACTGTCAAGGCAGACTCTCACACATCAACGCACAAAGGAACACACACGGGTAAACACAGATGCAGGCATAAGCCCATTTCACCCACAACTTGTTTTGTTAAGATAAACATGTATCTTTCACGGCTTCTGTGTGTTTGTCATGGATCAACGGATTCTTCACAAAGAAAAACCTGGAGGTGAGTGTATTCAATACGTTAAGCTTCGAGTGATCCCAGAGAGCCTCCAGGGAATCAAAGAGAAAATCTAATGAGGTTTAAGATTAACAACTTTTAAAAGAGACAGTTCAACCTAAAATCAAAAATACATATTTTTTATATTACCTGTAGATTGCTTTGGTGTGAGTCGCTGACTGTTGGAGATATTGGTCATAGAGATATCTGCCTTCTCTTGTTGGTGCTCAAATTGCCAAAAACATTTGAAACCTCAACCGCAATATCTCTTTGTAGGAATCATGACCCGGTTACTCAAGATAATCCACAGACCTTGTTGTGAGCAGTTTCACGGAGGAACTATTTTCTTTCTACTGAACCACACCTGCCAACCAAATTACCGCACAGAAGGAAGCGTGCATTTACTGCTGGCTTGCCTGGCACCACTGAACTAGCTAATGTTACAGCTCAACTGAGAAGGACGTCATTAATGTTGACATCTTGTGCTGTCATAAGCATGAGCCTCTCGTAGATGCATGCTTCCGTCCGTGCAATGTGCAGTGATACAGTTAGCAGGTATAGCTCAGTAGAAAGACAATAGTCCCTTCATGAAACTGCTCACAACAAGGTCTGTGGATTATCTTTAGGAACCGGGTCATTATTTCTTTTTGGCGCTTTGAGCACGACAAGCTGAGTGCCATCTAGTCCTATTAAATTGGAGAGAAGGCAGACACATCTACAGCTGATATCTCCAATACTCAGCACCTTACACCAAAACAATCTAGATTGATCAATAGCACTACAGGTAAGAGGAAAAATGCTCAATTTTGATTTTAGGGTAAACTGTCCCTTTTAAAGGAAAAATAATGTCAGAAGTTAGATTAAGTGGTGCTTTTTTAAACGCCTGCATCCGATTACAGCATACATGAGGTTCAGCTTATCACCCTCTCTTTCTTTTCCTATTTTTCTTCTCTCCCTTCCTCCCCCTCTCCATCTCTTTCCTCTCTTGACCAGCTGCAGACGGCAGCCAGGCCAACACATACCGCAGACCAGCATGTCATTGCTGGACACGGTGTAGCACTGGCTGAGGTGTGCTGTGGTGTCGTTTGATCGGTTGCAGAGGACTGTGATTTGGGGAAACAGGGGTGGAGTAAGCATACCTTGTAAAAAACCTACTGGCTGCAGCACACGCACGCAAACTCACACAAACACACTGACGAATGTGTGTGCATGAAGAGAAATCTGCTGCCCGCAAGTTACTGCGTAGAGAGCACTGAAATAACAAAACTGTGCACTCTTCATGGGAAGATTCATTGCACACTGACAGAAAATCATCACAATAACTGTACTGTAGGTGTAACATGTTGACACAGCTGCTGCCAAACACAGCACGAGTGACGTTACAGGAGCACCTGGTGACAGATAGAAAACAGGCTCGTCTGCTAGCACTACACTGTCACTACCGTCTAACTTATCCACAAATCACATCTACTGTACTGCGATGATGATATGTAACACACTCGTGCTATGGTCTCCGACTGCCCTCCATCTATCCATCCACACAGCCAGGCTCTATGTCTGACATTGATTTACTGATCATCCAGCAGGCAAAATATCCCATTGACATGCCAACTAATGTAGTACGCCCAGGCATTCCTTTTGCTCCTCATCCTAAACTTTTTATTGCATTTGCTTTGAAAGGGAAACTCGGCACACTGAACATTAAACGTCAGTTCAAAGTCCATTTACTGCTGCTGCCCCTGATATACCACACATGCAGCTTGGAATATGTTCTGGTGGTGTAATTCTCAAATTTAGACCAGAAAATCTTAATATAACATGGAGTAATCATCAAATATGCATCAAAGAACTAGTCGTAAACCCTAGAGTCCAATTTATCTTCAATTTCAAATATGTGTACTGATGTTTCAAATAAGTATTTGGCGAATAGCTGATACCAATGTTTTTGTTATTTATTCCCCCTTTTGTGCCAGGGGAACAAAGACATCCACATTTATTAAAAAAATAACTGAACTGTTTTAAAGTCATCAAGCCCCTCATTGAAACCTTGAAAACATTGTGTAGTTGTGGCCACTGGCTGCTAACAGCTAATGTTAACTAGCTCTCCTCCTGCCGATTTAAAAGCAGATTTTTTGTTTACAATGTAGCATATCAGGGAAATAACAGGGTGTGTCCTCTGACGCAGCGATAGTGAGTTTACTGCCTCCTTTTATCCTGAGGATGTTCCAGGGAAGATCTCTGTTTGTCCCGAACATGTTTTCTATTGTCTTCAGGACGCTGGTTGCTTCTAGCCATCTCGTCACACAACAGCGAGATCACAAAGCCCTTTTGCCGAACAGTTATTACTGTCTTCTATCTACTCAATAATTTAAAGGAGCAAAAAGCGAAATCGTTTCACCACTAGGTTTGCTGTTGAGCACTACCTGTAGACCAAAACAAAGTGTGTCATGAGCCACACCTCCCTCTACCTCTGCTCTCCACCCCCCACCCCACTCTCCTCGTCTGTGCAGCCGAGCACCGCAGTCTCTCCACGGACTATTACATCCAGACGGCCCCGGTGTTTCTTCCGCAGGCTCCACTTCACTCAGCTTCACTCAGCTGCCCCATATACCCGCTGCTTCTTCCCACATTAACCTGAATAACAAACCTCAGTGCAGTGTTCCGTTTGGATCCAAACGGAGAGCTGGGGCTAACGTTAGCTGGGAAGCTAGCGGAGGCTAATAGGCTGTGCTGGCAGCTGAGTAAAGTGGAGCCTGAGGAGGAAGCACCGGTTAGGCCCGGTTTCACTACAGGCAGATTCACTCGCCACAGGGGCAAGGAAACAAAACCTAAACAGCCAACTTAGTTTGGCTTAATTTAGCAGTTAGCGATGTCTTTCACTCACTCTTGGTCTCTGCTGTGTTTAGGTATTTCCCTGCTTTCCTGTTAGCGTTAGCACTACTCGGCTGCCACGCTAACGTTCCTACTCTTCTCCGTGAGCCCGTGAGCACGACTCCGGCTCACGCAGAAGAGTAGGAACGTTAGCGTTAGCTCCCGGAGTTAGCGCTAGAGCTACTACAGCTACTGGAGTAACTTAGAGCTGTGGAGCGGTTCTACCAGCTCTTCTAGTCACTGAGCCTCACCTCCATCTCAGCAAATATATTACATTTATTACAGGTACCATCATCATTGAAGTAGGCAGGGAAATAGCTAAACACAGCCCGCCAGGCTGCCCGTCGGGCTACATTTTACTATGCTAATTGCAAATGTTAGCTGGGCTACTGGGCTACTCACCTAACACAACCGTAACGCCTGACCCATTGCTGGGACCAAGCTCCGGACATTAACCCATGCTACGATTGTAACATTAAATTTAACTGAATCGACATAGCAACATGTGCCTAACGTTACAGTAACACTAATTACAACAGACATTTGACTCCCCCATTACACTTGGAAAATACGCGCTGCCATTGCTCACTGGCTGTAGCCTTTTAGAGGGAGGGAGGGCCTAGGGCTCCGAGAAATGATGAATTTCGCTTATTGCCCCTTTAAGTTTGTGGCCATTAGCTTCGTGCTCTGCTTTATAGCCTGTGCAAAAAGGATGTGACACAACAGTAAAACTTTGGCTGTTGCCATTGGTGAATGTCATCTTATTTGCTGATAGGCTGATGGCAGTCAACAAGGCGAATATCAGTCGATACCGATGTTCAGCCAAGACAAAGGTGCATCCCTAGTTTTCATGGGAAGACAAATAAACCCCTCCAAAACCTTGAATAAAGCAGTTACATGCTACAAATCAGTGTTTCTCCTGCGCTGTTTGGCACCTCACAGACAGGCTACTAGCCCAGAACTTCTGCTGTGTGTTCACCTATTTCATCTGATAACTGAGGATCCAGACATTCAGGAGGTTTTTACTGGGAGCCGAATTACCCACAGAGGTCTTGTCCTCTCCAAAACAAAGAGACCCAGTGATTTAAACGGACTGCTTGGGACCATATAGCAAGTTCACTCAGGGCATGATTACAAAATAAATCATCTCTGTTATGTATCAATAGATTCAGCATATGTTTATGATAACTTTGTCAGAGATACTTGAATGTCATGCATGTTTTTGTCATATCAAATGATGGTTATTATCAGAGGGATTTTGCACAGATTGTAGTTTTCAATGCAGTATTAAAAAGGCCCTATCTAGAGTAGGGCTGCCACTAACGATTATTTTCATTGTCAACTAATCTGTCGATTATTTCTTCGATTAGTCGACTAATCATTTAATCGAAAAATGTGTTAAAATGTTGAAAAATGTCGGTCTGTCTCGCCCAAACCCCAAAATTATGTCATCTAATGTCTTGTTTCATACTTACGCCAAAAGGTTTTAGTTCACTGTCACGGGAGAGTGTGTAAAGCTGCCAATATCTGAACGTAAGAAGCTGCAGTAAAAGTATTTTGGGGTACTTTTATAGTTCTTTTCTATGAAAAATGACTCAAACCGATTAGTCGACTACTAAAATAGTCACCAATTATTTTAATAGTTGATTAGTCATCGATTAGTCGACTAATCCTGGCAGCCCTAATCTAGAGCCAGTGTTTGCTTTGTCTGTTGTCTGGAAACATGGGGGTGCAACATGGTGATCTCTGTAGATGAGTACCTAAATCCTACACACTGGACCTTTAAGACTATCATTAAATAGCTAATTAATGTCAGAGTCTTTGGTGGGAATACTAGAGAGAATTATAGCTGCTGTACAACTGTATTCAATATGCACTCTCTCTGCAGGAGTAGTTTGTAAAAGCTGTAAAAATTATCTACTGTGCATTGATTTAAATTGTGTTGTTACAGCAGCATGATGCAAATTTCGATTTTATGCCTGACGTTAATGGGCTCCAGCATAACTCCCAGTGGTGTGAAACAGTCTGTGTGTGTGTGTGTGTGTGTGTGTGTGTGTTTTTGTTTTGGCTCTCACTCCAGTTCCACCTCTGTGCAGGAATCTGTGGTTGTGTACAGTGAGGTTTGGTTGCGTGTGAGCAAGCGCATCTGACTTAACATATGGCTGCCAGTCAGCATGACTCTGCTGCCAGTTGAATTACAGTAACAGCCACCTGCCAAAAAAATGCTAATGTGGGTCACTGCAAACATAGAAAATGTATATGTCTCTTGGCGACATGAGGTGAGTACTGGGACAACTGAGATCCAAGAAGAGGAAGACAGATGGAGAAAGAAGAAAATGAAGACAGAGAAGAGGAAGGCAGTAATGGCAAGGACACTGATAGAGACCAATGTCAATTAGGCAGTAACTGTAAGAGCAATGATGGAGAGACCGAGGTCAATGATCCAATAATCATTATCTTTCCCCTCTCTGGATTCATAAATCAAAAGCTAATGAAGTTCTTCTCATTCCCAGATGTGTTAGCCACTTATGAGTTTACTCTCCAAACCCATTGCACTCTCTGTCCTAGTCCAGAACAGAAATCCATCACCACATGATGAGCCTCGACCAGGAAAGCTGATTTGCAAGAGACAGAAAAAGACATTCAGCAACCTAACTACAAATGTGAGAGGAGGAATTTAGTATCATCAGCTGAGCATCATGAGTCAGAGCACTGAAAATCATGACACAAACTGGCCTTGGATGATTTCTGCAATAAGCTATAATAGGAAAAGCCCCCATTTGTGTTAAAGTACTGCAGCACACCATGAAGCTGTTCAGACAGGCTTGGAAAGTACAATAGTTGAAAGAGAGCGGCACCAAGTGGTAACAAGTGAGAACTGTTTTAACAGCAGCCAGGAGTTGCTGATTTTATCATAACTGCTCTGTTTTTTTTGCAATGACACCACAACACCAAATACCTCTTTGGCTGAATCTCAGAATCCTATTCTATTCTATCCTCAAAATCTCATACAGGTTACAGTAAACCTCGCCTTCAGATGGTACAAACACTATCAAATACATGAAATACTGCTAAATATCATCACAAACTGGTGACATAAATATGGAAAAATACCAACACCAAGGCAGACTACTGTATAAGAAGTTGATAAATCAGTAACAGTATGCTTTTTCACAGACATTGCTAGGCTATATCCAAAGGTGGATCTGAGATCCTTAAGTAAAAATAGTGATACCTTTGTGTAGAAATATTCTGTTACAAGCAAAAGTCCTGCACTCATTACATAAAGGGGAACACCACCTAAATTAAGAATTCCAGTGTGTTCTTTCCATGGCCAAGGAAAGTTCAATCAATATTTGTGAACATGAGCTACTCTTTCTCAATGTCAGAAACCAGAGAAGTAAGTCTCAAACTTGTGATGTCATCAAGTATAAAGTTTGGAGCTGCTTCATAAACAATGAGCTTTATTCTATTGTAGTGTTTTAAGATCTGAAACAGAAAATGTACCCACATACTCAAAATATTTCCCTGGGTGCTCTCAGTGTCTTTGAGAACATCTCTCCCTGGTCGTTGTCTGTGGAGCAGCTCCGGACTTTATACCCATGACATCACAATTTTCAGTTTTAGCACTCTACTTTTGGCTTTGGGAGAGAATTGTTCGTGTTAACTAATATTTTTAGACTGCCTTATACCATAGGAACAACATATATGAATTTTAAAAATGGGCATAGTTTCCCTTTCAGCAAAAGGTACAATAGTATTAGCATCAAAATATAAAGTACCAAAGGTGAAGGTGCACATTATTAACCAGAATCTGCAAAGTAACTAAATGTAGTGGAGTAAAGAGTACAATATTTCCCTCTAAGATGTAGTGGAGTATAAGTATAAAGAAAAAAAATGGAAATACTCAAGCAATGTACAAGTACCTCAAAATTGGACTTAAGTACAGTAAGAGCAAATGTACTCAGTTACTTACCACTACTGGCTGAAGCATTTTACTTTCAATAGATATGCTACAAGCACAACTGAGACAGGATCTGGGACCTCAACCTCCAAATTAATGCAATATCTGACTTGAGGAAATAAATCTCTTGGTGGCAAATATGAGCCTGTGCAACTGAGTAACGTTACACTGTATCAACTTACCAAAAGCCAGATTAGCGTAAAATTAACTGAAATACAAAATGTTTCAAATTAACATGTGGGTCAATTTAGAGGAATCACACAACATGCATGTCTCAGAGGCCTCAGAAATTGTTTGCATGTAAATCTATTCTGTGATATAGACTGTATTCTTTCCTCCAGTGTCTCAAGATGTGACAGAAATCTAAAATATCTCAAACAAAGCCAGGAAACCCCAAGAACTTCTGTTTAGAGGCTTTCATGTAACTGTCATCTTGGTCACTAGGGGTCAGAAGAGACCAACTGACAGAATGGAAGCTTTAGCTAGCCGATTAAGCCTTTAGCCAAAACTGTCTACTTACACATCCTGAAGAAACACAGTAGCAGAGTCAACGTCTTGAGGTCTTTATCGGCAACCTGGGGAATATTTCCATATGTTATAGTCTTCGTTTGGTCGGACAAGTCTTGACAAAAATACCACAAATATCCAACTTCATTCACCTGTCGCTCACCTTGCTGCTGGGAAAGTAGCACACTGTTTAAGTTAGCTAGCACCGGTCGTTGATGGCTACCAACGGAAACCGGACACCATCTGTCAATTAGGTATTTATTTAATTAGCTAGGTAAATCATATTGTTAATGCGAGCGCAACGAGAAGAAGTCAGCCTTTCTAGCAACTTATTAGGTGGGGTAAAATCAACGGCAGGTGGGTGTTAAGTCATAAAAAGCCGAGTTTTACCAATGGAAAGGGGATGAGTTGTATTTGTTTAGAACCAACGGTCAATCAAAAATGGCGCCGAATCTCTTCTTCGCTTGTCAGTAGTAACGTTACTGCAGCTAACGGAAGGAAGTTATTGTTCTACAACAGTAGTGCTTTATCACAGTTGAAATACTAGCCCATATAGCTTTCATATAATAACAAAAGTAGTTTTAATATTTATTAACTTAGCCTTTATAAGAATATACGAAAAAATAGTCATTTATTTAATATATTTATCAGCCCATGTCATTATTTTCAAATGTATGCAGATGGTGTTTTAAGTGTTATGCTTTCATTGATGTAGTGAATACTGTTTCACTGAGTTGTGGACAAATGAATGTTTTTCTGCTTGAACACAATAAAATCACTTTCATTTGTCTTAGGCCTAATATTGTATTACAGTGTCTTGTGCCACTGTGGGCATGTGGAGCAGTAACTGTAGAGGCCTGAGAGTGGCGCCCAAGAGCTTTACAAGAACATTCATTATCCATCTCTCCCATTACCCACTTTGACACTATATCATTATTAGATTCCACTTTAACTCCTTAAATCCAGGTCATAAATACATTTGAGGTGCCAGCTGACTTGTGAAATCAATGCAAGGCTCACAGATACAACATGTAGAGCAGTAAACGCATGCATGAAAGCTACTTTGCCATGCCAACAACAGTAAACACAGCGTTCTGCTTTCATCTGACAAATCTTCCTAAATGGTTGCACACCAAACTACATCTAAAATTAGGGATCAGTGGATTGATGATAATTTCAGGATGGGGTCAGAGTATTTACACAACTGGGCATTTTTATGTGGTCTATCAACACTGCTGAGGAAGGCACCCATTCATTCTCTAACTACAGTTTATACATGTCCTTTATTTGTGATTAATAGATTACCAAAAGCCTCATTATGATTGATACATGTCAAAATGTGGAAACCAGAGATATAATTATGCACAGTTTACTGCACTTCATGCTCATGCTGGGCATTGTCTGGAAAAGGTTCAGTGTTGTTGTTATTGATTATCCAAATGTTTGTGCTTTTATGTTTATAAAATTTTATATGACACATCCGTCCAAAATCTTTCAGCTGCTGGGTTGAGATCTGGTGACTGTGAAGGCTGTACCATATAATTAAGGACATTTTAGATAGAGATGTTTTATCATTTAGGGTGATTAAAATACAAGTAGCTTAAATTGTTTTTAATCTGTTAGAAATCTGTCTTTCTTGAACATCTGAATTAACATGGATAACCTGAATCTTAACAGCCCTGCCAGTATCCCAGGGCATAATTATCAGAAGCCTATTTTTTATACAAGTAATATTCATACTGGTTTAAATAAACAATTTAATTGTATTTCCCATCTTTGTTGAGCAACAGTGTTGTGTGAAAGGAATTAAAGGCCTGTCCCATATAAACGTCTGTCCCAAATATAAGCCTGTTGATTTGAGTGATTGAAGCAAATAGCCCGGGCTTTTAATTGAAGTTTTATGATAACTCGAATTAAGTCTGAGATCACTTTCTGCCCCCCTTTATAAATAGTTTATAATTATTTTTTTCATTACTGACTGATAAATCAAATTAATAATCAACTTTTGGGTTGCCAGGTTGTGGAAAATATTTTTCTTCTAGCATACTTACTTTGTCTTTTTAGCATGCACCACTGCCCAAACGATTATTTTTTCTAGAAAACGGCAACAGGGTATCTAAACTAGAATCACACTCGATGGTTTGTCAGAAAAACCCTTTATTGATTAGTTACTAAGATTATAAAATCATAAACGTGACATATAAATGTGGGTGACTGACAAACTTTTGCTCCGGGCTTATGAGAAACTGGGGAACACTGGATTTGCCACAATTTGGCAACCCCAAAGTTGAGCTCATTAATAGCTTATAACTGCTCTAAATGATTTATGATCCAGCAATAAAGCCATTAATTACAGCTTATAAGACTTAATAAAGGGTGCCTTATTTAAGACTTAGTTATTTTTCCACAAAGTTGGAGACACTGATGTGTGAAGAGCAGCTCAAAGAAAGACATAAGCCAAGTGAAAGATTTTGACAGAGAGAAATCGTCAGTTTGAAAAAGAAAGCGAGAGAGGGAGAGAGGGAGAGAGGGAGATGTGGGTTTGAGGTTTGTCAATGTGAACCAGTTGCTCAGAGAGGACTCTGGTGGATGGAGGAGGACGGATGGAGGGAGGGCAGCTCTGAGGATAAATGCGCTCTTTCATTTCAAAGTGAGAGAAATCCGTTACTAGAAGCGCATATTTACAGAGACAGAAACTCCCGGGAAACAAGCGGTTTGTTGTAAATGTGAGTTTAAAAAATCAGCGGAGAGGATCATGGATAACAAGTTACCAGAGGAACCTCAGCTCAAACTTTTGGCTTAATGAGCGCAGTTTGTGTCCACAGGAGAGCTGGAGAGCTTCAAAGACGCGCACCGGAGTCAGGAGGGATAAAGCGCTGCGCTGACTGACTGTTTGGGAAGGTGTTACACATTAGTAATGGTTTAATGACTTTGAACTGCGGCCTCTTGTTCGATGGGACAGGTGCAGGTTTTTCACGGCCAAAACATGGGTCACTGAGGTGTCAATTAAGTGTTCTCTCTTTATCCTAAAGACCTTTACGCGCACTACAATAACTCGCTCCTGTAGTGTGCGCCAAATATTCCCACAGGGAACTTTAAGAAACGCAAAAATCACGGACAGGAATCCTCGTGTGGAGTTGGTTTATTTTATTTTCATCTATATTTAACGACTCAAGACTGCTTTTATGAACGAGCCCGCACACACACAGTAGACATGCCACAGCAGCACCGTTTTACCGGATTTTACGCATCTCTTGGGGAAAGAGAGAGCTGAAAAGCGCGTGTTTATATGTGTGTGTGTGTGTGTGTGTGTGTGTGTGTGTGTGGTGGACGCCGATGCACTGCATTTCCAACAGCTCAGGGGAGACCACTTTGTAAACAGAGAAAAAACACACAAGGAAAAAAATAGAGGAGAGACTTTTCTTTTTTAAATAAATGGAGCTGCGTAAATACCTGTTGTGCCTGGAGTTCATCCTCCTTCTTAAAGGTAAGAACCACTTCATAGAAGTTATATTTTGGTTTAGAAGTCAACTTTAAAGTTAGTTTTTGCCCTTTTGCTGTTTTTAAAATAAGATAAAACTACTCAATGGGAGTCTGAACAGGAGGGGGGGATCCCTGCTCCTAAACCTGTGAACTTTGGAGAACTAAAAGTCAACCTCTTGTCCATGATTGATGCCTCTTCACTTCCCAGTTGCTCTGATGTCCCCCAGCACTGTCTCTCTGGGTGATATGGTCATTAACCTCCACAATTTTTACACTTCACCAAACAACATGTGGAAATGATTGTGTCACACGCCCCCCCCCCCCCCCCCCCCCCCCNCCCCCATCCCCAGCTATGCCCCCACACCACACCACCCTGTCCCTCCTGCAGCCTCAACGGGCTACATTGTCCCCCCCCAGATGGGGTCCTACCCCCAGTTCATGCCCATTCAAGGCCCAGCACAGACTCCCGCCTCCCATCCTCAGCAGCCAAAGCAGCCGCAGCCGTACCCTCAGCCCGTCGGGCAGATGCTGCCTCAGGGCTACCAGCCTGGACCGAGGGCTGTTCCTGCCCCCCCCCCCCCCCCCCCCCCCCCGAGTCCCAAGGAGCTTTATTCTGTGTGACAGTAAGCGACTGACCATAAAGACATTCCTAACATGACTGTGTGCCGAAGAGTAGAGAAGCAGGCGTATTAAAACATATGGCCACACTCCATTTGCCAAACAGATGAAAGGTATAGGAAGTTGTGCACGAGTCCAATAAAGTAATGGTTCCTGGTTCAACGTCTGATCCTTGAGTAAATCAATGAGTTATGTCAGTACTGAGGAAGTATTTCTTTCTCGCTGGAGGCCTCCAGATATACCTGGAGGAGTTTGGAGCCATCACAGATATGTGCATGTATCATTTGCAGAAAGGTTACTGGTTCATCTCCTCTTACAGCTCACACCTTCTGACCCTGGCAGCTGCGTAACTCGACCCCATCGGCCATATCAGCCATATGCATCGCTTAGACTTCCCCTAATAAGGCGCCTGCCTATGCCATGTGGGGTTTCTCCACGGAGCATGAACATCAGCTCCCCTCCTGTACTCATGTTCGGTGTGGAAGAGCAGCCTCACACACCTCATTGAGCCATTCCTGCTCAGCAGCAAGAAACCTAAGAAAAAGGCCATTGTTGTCTACCAAAACTAAGTGTTTATTCAGCTGATAAGCAGTAGTTAAACTGCTCGGTTAGTGAAGCAAAATTAGATCAGTGGGCTGAGATATACCGTGCAAGGCATGTTACGTTGGTACCTGCTCTGAATCACACACAGTCTGTGAAGTCAGTGTGAGACGTTGGCATTTGTGCCAAATTGTTAAATTAAGAATGATTATCCATGCAGCCAGTTGCATGCCATGCAGAGTGCTTCTAATGCAGAAGCTGAGGAATGAACGGGGACCACATACTGAAACACACACACACACCTATTATCAGAGGTGGAACCAACTCAGTGTTTTGCAAGTCACGTTTAATTCTCAAGGCTTTGCACTCAAGTCCAAAGTCAAGTCTCAAGCCAGTACAGGCATGAGGCCCGAGTCAAGGATGACAGGTCCCAACTGCTAAACTTGGATTTTTGAGTCCTAAACAAGTCATAAGGCACTCTTTACCAAATGTAATGCCATTTAACAGCAGTTACAATATATTCAATGTAAAAATCATGAATGGGTTTTAAAATTTGTATTTTTTTTAAAAGCTAAAAGCGCTAGCCTTGCCTTACCATTCCTTGTATAACTTCAAACGTTCAAAGAAGTTGGAAGTTGTTTTGTCTTTGTCATAGACTGTAAAAATAATGGATGTGGCTACTGTGACATCACCCATTGG